TAGCTGCTGCAGCTGAGCAAACATCGAATGTCACCGTTGAATGGCCGTCACAGTTGGTCATAACAAAGTGTTCGACCTGAGAATGACCCCCGTGTCGTCATACCCTCTATTCTTTCCCAGGCATCGAAAAGTCGCATTTCCATAAAATCTTTGAAACTGACTTAAGCGTTTGCTTGAAGGTCAATAAAAACTGAAATAATTCACAAAAGCGTTCGGCAATGTTGTTTATTACTGTTTGTCAAGTTATGAGTTATATGATTTACTGCTGTAATCGACATTAATTACTTGATTATGACATTCATCAGTTAAAATTCGAACCTGACCAAATGCTGTGGCTAGTTGTTTGTTTGATTGTTTTGGTGTTCTTTTGAGCTGTGTCCGTAGAGAAAAGAACAACAGTTTACTGCTTGATTAGGTTCGTCAAAAAATTTCGCTTTATGACATAGCAAACAACTCGGTAATCCACAAAACTTAGATCTCACAATGCGTAGAATGGCACTTGACCGCGTAGAGCAAATATAAAGGAAGAATCAGTAAACAAATGAAGCCGTCGTGATACCGGTGTGGAACTGCGAAGAAGAAGGTCCATGTGATGAGTTAATGATCAAGTTCAAGTGGTACTTTCAAACGTCGTTAAGGACTTGAAGAACATCTGCTGAGGCTGGGACTATGAATCTTCAACGAAGGCAAAAGAAAGCGAAAGAGGGAGAGCAACCGAGAAGATGGGACAGAAAAAAGTACAGAACGAGAGTAAAGAAGTAGAAAAGTAGAGGGGGGAGAACGAAAGAAATGGAGAACGAATGACAGAAACAAGAAAGATAGCTTTAGTTGAGAGCAAATTGCCGGACCAGCGGCTTGTCGTATATTTTACAAAGGAATGCTCCAGCAATCAAGAGTAGCAGCAATATGTAAGTGAGTCTGACAACTCTACTCTCGCAAATCGCACTGTTTTCTTTACATCAGTAGGCAGCCAGTATGAAACTTGTAAGCCAATGCTAAGCGTCTCATAGGTGGATTGACTCTGTTCTGTCCTAGGCATCTGAGACCTGAATAAATATGGAGATATATAGAAATATATAGAAAAAGATATTGGCATTGTTGAACAAACTGGCTGAGCATAAGCCATGTAATTTAGCCCATACGTGGGAACTAAAACACGGCAGAGTCGACCAAGAGATTAGCATGCAATATAGAGGAGCAAGGTAGAGGCAGATTCATTTTTGGAGATGAATATTTCTTTTTGCGACACAGTAACAACCACAACAGCTGCGAATACAGCGAACATTACAAATCTGAGATGTTCTGCTTACGCAGATGGCCCAAGATGATGTTCCCAGCAAACAGCACACGTCCATCTTTTGTAAACTTTGACTTTGAACTCAAAAGGTGTTTTCCCAAGTGTCGTTTGACTAAAAACTCAGTCAAGTTTATAAACTCATGCAGATACCATGGAGTAGATGATTCGACGCAGATGCGTTTCTAATGCCATGGCTAGCAATACGAAAAGTAATAAAGCTGGTGTTTTTTAATAACGATCAAATTGAAATAGATTATTTTAGGTTCGATAAATAAGGAACCAGAATCAGAAGCCGTCTGGGCTGTTGGAACTCGGTCGTTTGTTTGATGTTTTTTCCTAATATTTTTTTAACCACTGCTGGTTTGAAAGTGCTAAGAAGCAAATGTGAATTTTTGCTCGGTCCCGGTACGAAACTTGCAATGAGAGTAGCCATTGGACGGCGAAGCGTCGAAGGTGACTGTCCGTCTCACTTGGGTGGCGATCGATCGTGTGTGACGTGGCGATGAGGAGTTCCAGTTTCACGCTTCATTCAAGTCCGCCATTTCGTGCCTTCGAACCGTATGCACTTCTGCGCTCATTCTCAAACCGGTCCGTCGCCAAAAGCGATTCGTTCGAGAAAGAAACGGACCACGAACACGTGGCCGTAAGGCGAACAAATGAATGAATGCCTCGTTTTCCTCGGCCGGTGCTTTTGGCAGAAAAATGATCGACGACGACGACGACGGAAAGAATCACATGTCCTCCATTCATTGCATCGACTGCGTCTGTCATTCACGGATGTTGCCGCGTCTGCAGGGCAAAACTTCGTCGCGTTGGTGTCCTTTTGACAGAACCCGTCATCGCGCTGGACCCAGATCATCTCCACTATGACCAATGCTGAACCAAGCATTTACAGTTGGAATTTTTCGAAAAACTTTTCTAGCATCTTCCTGAATGCCATCAGAACGTCAGAAACTGATTCATGACGAAAGAGAGAAGCAGAGGGCATGCGAAATGTCATACATGCCTATAATCACGCGGTTAAGAACGAAAAATTTTATGTCTTTGCAGAAATCCATCTCTAAAACAGTCCTTTTCAATCGTCTATCATTTTCAAAATCCGATAGTTATTTCAGATGGCCGGGGGGGGGCAGCTACATAAGATGTCTTTTCATTGATCCCAGTCTGCCGCTAAACGACAAGGTCCATGATTTTGCGCCAAAGGGCTGCTGAACAACATCACGTCTACGTAACCTAACCCGTTCGTCCGCGCTCAGTCATTGAACCTCTTCCATGTGCCTTTGCCAAACCAGGTAGCCTCTAGGGTCTCTCGTATGGTTGCGACTCTCTTAAAAATACAAGTGTACGAATTCTGGCATACGGCTTTGCCTCGGCATGAACTGCCGTTATGGATTGAGGAAAGACGAATGGTCACTTAACGAAATGGATAAAGTGAGCCATCCATGATGGTCTTTGGTGATGTGGATGATTCATAATATTGTACCCTTTTATTTTATTGATATAATGCATCATTTAAGTTAAAAGAAAAAAATCCTTTACGAAATGACACAGCGTGTAGAATTTATGTACACGTTCCCAAACGCTTCGAAACATGACGTTTTAATTTCTGACACTAGATTTACTTTGTGTAAGCTCAACGTAAGTAAACCTCTAACCGCCTAGGGGAGCTACTTAAATAGGCCACAGTTCCATGGTATTTGATCACTTATAGTGTATTTGATACACGACAGCTTCTACAAGCTAGGCTGAACAAGTGCAATTTGAGAAGCAACTAACTCTGCCACTGTCGCAGACACACAGGAAAATCCTAACCCCGTTATTCTGCGGCTGCTACCATAATAGCTTTCCAATTTTGCGGGTAATCATGGCGTTATATTTCTGATACCCAGTTAACTCGGCATATGCTCGACAATCCTTGCTTCTAATCCCCTAGGTGGACCGATGCAGTAGGCCACGCCTGAACGGCATTTGCACACCTTCTGTCCTCGTAGTGGATCTATGTTCAGCAAGTGATTTCATGTGACAAAGCAAACTATATCTGTCTGTCTTTAATGTGTATATTTTAATCCATTGCTTATAGTGTTTAAAATGCGTTTCGTTGGAATTCCCCCATCTCAGAAAACGCCGAAAAATGGTCGTTATATGAAGCTGAGC